TGCTGAACACCGATGCATAGCAGCCACATACTATTGCCTTCTCTCGACGCGGTGACTGTTCAAGTCTAAAAGGAATCCATGCAACAAAATCGATTACGCTTTAATATATACATAAAGAACTGTTCAATTCACTAATTTCGTGGTCTGCTTGACCAATTAATACATTACAATTAATTAAGGTTTTTAGTTGAGATGAAAAAAGTTAATGGCACGAGAAGGATTCGAACCCACGACCTTCGGCTAGATACGCCGCTGCTCTACCACCTGAGCTATCGTGACCTCGATCCACTCGGACATCAACTGGCCATGAAAAATATTCTCTAAGGATATTCTCTAAGCTTTGGTCAATTCTTTTGTGCCTTAAAGTGACCAAGTTGATACAAAATGTGCAAAATCGTATTAAATATGTTAAAATTAATTAAGGTTTTTAGTTGAGATGAAAACAAGTTAATGGCACGAGCGGGATTCGAACCCACGATCTTCGGCTAGATATGCCGCTACTCTACCACTTGAGCTATCGTGACCTCTATCCACTCGGACACCAACTTCCTATCTCAACCCCATCTTTTGAGTTTTCCCTCCTTTTGCCATTTTTCATGGCCAGTTGATGTCCGAGTGGATCGAGGTCACGATAGCTCAGGTGGTAGAGCAGCGGCGTATCTAGCCGAAGGTCGTGCGTTCGAATCCCTCTCGTGCCATTAACTTTTTTCATCTCAACTAAAAACTTTAATTAATTATAAAGAACTATATTCAATGGTCACTAATATCGACGTTAAGAAGGCCACATTAAATAATCGTTTATGCTTAGTGCTTGTTGGTTCAACCGATCGTTGTTGAGGGGTTAATGTCCCCAGCCTCATCAAGTCGACACCATCTACATTTCGTACAATTGAACATTTATCTGCAGCTTCTCCCATAGGAACATTCATGAAATTTGTCATACCGGATGAGCTTAGATAGCGATGGGCGTGGATCAAACGAAATTAAAAATCATAATAGACAATGGGACTATGAAACGAAAAAAAAAAAAAAGAATAAAGAAGGAACCTTATTGAACATGTTCTAAGGCGAGACCATTGCTTATTTGCATCTCGTTGAGTCATAGTTTACGTAATATTTAGATTACAATTTAAGCTCCATTTCTGTTCGCCTCTATGAAGTTCGTGATCAAGATTTCAAAGACTTCTCGTTTGTTTGTACATTAAATCGTTACATTTTTATTAATACGTTTAAATGTTTTGTTGTTTTGTAATTAGGAAAATTTCCACATACTTAATGAATAAGAGTAATTTCTATAAGCAATTTATAAATTAACATAATAAGACCAAAATTTGACTGCAGTGTAAATGATGCCAGATTTTAAAAAATGTGTTTTGTTGTGTAGGTTTGCTTAATGGACTTTTTAAAAAATTTATGCTAACAATAGTTTCAATGGTGACCCGCCATTCCTCACGTAAGTTCTAGTTCTTTGCCCTATATTGGTTTCATTATTTAGCTGTATCAGTTCTGTCTTTTTAAGTCTGGGATTTCAGCTCATTCGCATGTTTACAACCAGTACGAGGTAGCGGTTGAAGTTTTCGGTAGGAAAGGCAGTGAGGTTATAATAGATTAGAAGTAGAGTGATGAATTGGAGGGTAAAGGTTATTTTCAAGGATTTTGTCACGATCGTTAGAAAGGGTAGTGTTATCAGGGTATGTTAGGACAAGGTATATCAACAATATCTCTAAACAAGACAGTTTACATGCGTCAGTTCTTTTTTTGTTGTTAATTAAACTTTTTTTGGGCCATAGTATATTCTATCTTTATTCGTGATAAGGAAATGGTATGGAATTAAATACTGATTTTAAGCGACATAAAATAAATGAAAATGTGTGGTGGTTAGTGACCGTTTGTCGATGTTTATTCAGAAATCGTGAGATGCAGTCTGGTGTGGTGTAGGTTTCAGACAAACATTTTCTTTATCGTACCAACGTTTCGATCTTTATTGAGATCATCTTCAGGGCTCAAAGTGTTTTTTTTCTGAGTAATTGTGCCATTCTTGCGTGTCGTGTTGAGAGTGACAGAGTGAGAGTATTACACAGAAGACAAACACTTTGAGCCCTGAAGATGATCTCAATAAAGATCGAAACGTTGGCACGACAAAGAAAATGTTTTTCTGAAACCTACATCACACCAGACCGCATCTCACGATTTCTAAATAATAAATGAAAATGTTGTTTTAGCAAGAAACAAAGTTGACATTCATTTTTCACTTCGAAAAGCTTTTGAATACGCATTTTTGAGGAAATAAAACATCATTTAATTGCTCATAATTTTCGCCTTATAAATGCTTTTTTTTATAAATCACAAAAATGGTGATAATTTGAAACAACTTGACTGATTCCCCGCACTCATTACAGGGGTTCTTTTTACGAGGGTTCGCAACAGCAGAGGTCATATAAACTCTCAGGGTGCCGGTGTTGTTGGGAAAAAAAACCATTTGTAAGTATGTCGCGTTCGAATGCAGGGCCACTGGATTCGAACCCGGGACCTTTACCTTACAGTGATGAGCGCCGTGTCAAAGACTAAACCTTGCGGCCACCGACGCCCCTTACAGGGGTTTAGAACCGTATAAAATCGACGTAAATGACGCCACCGTAAATAAATTAGAAAGGTAGAAATAAAACATTTGAGGAGTTTTTGTTGATTTGACCCTTACGTATTACATTACCTATAATTTTATGTTATTAAAATTTACCTGTTGTTTATGTAGGCTGAAAAAGAAAACATTCGGCTTTGGGCCGGCTGTAATAACATTGAATTTCGATAAAATTCAGAATTTTTATGAATTTTCAGTGCAATATCGGAGAGAAAAAATGTCCTCCGACGAATCCAGCCATAAAATTTCTATTTTCTTTTTGCTATAAAATTGGGGGTTCTGAGGGGTTCTGAGGGTTGTTTAAAACGAATCCTAAATGTTTTTGGCCTACTTCAATGGAAGAGTCTTTTGGTTTTTTAGCCTTTTATATAACTATTCTCATTTAATACAATCCTTCATACTTCCTTTCGTAGATTAAAAAAAATCAACTGATATGTAATAACCTTGAAATACATGCACAATAGGCAGTTGGAGAAGGCAGAAAAACATAAAATTATTTAAAATATTTTTTATAGGCTCTTAGCTATATAATATTTTTTGTCCTACTATCAGCAAACAAAGTTTCATTGAAAGAGGCCAAGTTTGCCATTGAAAATTTTAAAAAAACTTGTCGAGAACATTTTAATCGCCGGCCTGATCTACGTTGCTTTTGAATCGTATTTTCAACGTATTAACGTACATAACGATTAAATCCTTCCCTGATGTTTCCTAAAGAAAAAATGTGCGAAGTGTATGGTGAAGATGGGTTCCTAATTTAATTTTCTCTCATAATGTGTTCGGTCGTATTTCTGACCCGGGATGAAAATGTTGGTGAGCAGGTGGATTGATTATTTTAAATAAGAATTATCAAACAACGCTGCGGAGATAATTTAATTAAAAATTAGATCTCCTATTCAAAAATAGGATATTTAGCTAATTTCAGTTAAAAATCAACAACAGAAAGGCCACAGACCTCATTTTAATTTTTACCATAAAAAAATAATTTTATAAAATATTTAGTAAAATAGTTTACAAAAGTTTGCAGGCGGGTGTCAACCAGATCTGTCAAAAACATTGACCAATTATTGAAATTTTTAAGCATATATCGCTCTTTCAATTTTTCAGGGGGAAAAAGTGAAAATTTTAAACTAGGGCATGCCCGCAGACTATTGACAAGTGTGACCTTAACGTTATACAATTGTGTTTAGTAAAGAGAGAGAAAAAAACAATTCTTATCTTAGTTTTTAAATTCAGGAAGGAGGAAATGTTGAACAACCGGGGAAAAGCCAACATTTCTTTGTTAAGAAAGCACTAAAATCGCGGGTACCAGCAGTTTTATTTAAACAGCTAAGGGAAACTTTTTCGATAATATAAACAAATCAAGTTTCCACAAAAATTATAGGGTAATTTCTTGTTTCAACAGCATGAATAGACATTTATTGAATGGCAAAGAGAAATAGACCAATAAAACACCCAATTACGTTCAATAATCTTTTGTGACTTAGCATAAATCTTTATATCTTAGAAATTTTAGAAAACATGCTCGATTAAGATATTACATTGCAACAATCCCGTTTATAGTTATATTTTTTTATATTAATTTTTGAAATCCCACCACAGGATTAGAACTCGATTTTTAATGGATTTATGTCTATTTTATGGCCTTACCGCGTACAGAGCACTCTCCTTGATTAAACTTAAACACATTCCTAGCATCCACTTCGCCAAAGTGAAATTTATTCAGTTTCAGGCCGAAAAATATTAGAAAATTTTCAACAGAAACCTTGCAAATATCAAAAACTCAGTTTACACTGAGAATTTATTCGACTATGTTCTACAGTATTTCAAGTGTTATTCATCTGATGTCAACGGATGTCGACGTGTTGTACAAACAAGTTAGTAATCCGGTAAATCACTGTTCCATCTACATATGGGGGAATCATCATGATGAGGCAGGGCGAGTAGTAATTACTGCTGACTCAAACAATCAACTCGCCATGCATTAATACATCAGTTGATTGATGTGCATACATGTTCATTAAACGTGATGATTTTAGACGGTTTTAAACTGATATGTATTTTGTATGTGGACTTATGTAAAGCCTCTGGCTTATATTTCTCGAATCGTATGTACATTAATGTTCTCTCTCGACTCTTCAAAATTTTCACTCTTGTTGCCATTTATTTCCACTAGGTTTTCGATGAAAGGATTAAAATTCGGAATGGACAGTAGATCGTTAGATTTTCTCTTAGGAAAGCCAAAATATTTGTAACGATCAAAGTTCAAAACTTAGTTGAAAATGTTCAAAACCTTTGTCAATTTTCAAAATCAGTACAGGACTACAGAGGATTTTTTAATGTTGTCAAGTGAAATTTCACTTACACGTGACGACTCCGATGAGGAGGGCTATGATGAGGATCATCTTGACGGTCGCATCGTCCTCAGGTGACTGAAAGCGAGAGTGATTCGCTTTTTCTCCCCCGCCGCCCGAAACGTCGTCGCGTATGTTTTCGAACGAGTGGGAGCTTTGTTTTCCACGGTGCGACCTTGCTTTATCTGCTTAAGTTTATTCGCAGCATTGCTCCTATACGTCAGAGAAAATGACTCAATCCTTTTTCACCGCGCATCCTGGGCTTGGACGGCCTTTAACCGGCCTGGAACGGGGTGTGTCTAAATTCGGATTTTGGAGATGTGGGTGTCATCGTTATTCTCGATCGTTAGCACTTTGAATTGTCATTTTCAGTTATAAATGCTGACGATATTGATGTTGAAACTGGGTACGTTTCGTTATTCGAAATATCACAAAATATTGAGAGAGAGAAAGAGGCAGAGATTGAGGAAAGAGAGATAGATAAAGAGATAGAGAAAGAGACAGACAGACAGACAGACCGACCGAGAAACAGTGAGAGGTAGAAAGAGAAAGAAAGAAATACAGAGATAGAGAGTGAGTAATGGTAAGTGAGTGAGAGCGAGAGAGAGAGAGAAAAAAAGACAGATAGATAGACAAATAGATAAAGAGAAATAGGGAGAGATAGTGAGGCCAGAGAGAGTAATGGAGAGGCAGCGACGAAGACAGAGGGGAAAGATAGAAACATAGAGATAGAGCGAGAGGGACGGAGTGAGGGAGAAAGAAAGAAAGACAGCCCGACCGACTCAGAAACAGTGAGAGGCAGAATGAGAAAGAAAGAAATACAGATATAGAGAGACTTATCAAGAATAAGTGAGAGAGGGAGTGAGTGAAAGAGAGAAAGACAGATAGATAGAAACATAGATAGAGATAGAAAGAGAATGATCGATAGATGGACACATAGATAGAGATAGAGAGAGAATGGACAGAGGGCAACTATAGATAGAGATAGATAGAGAGAGAGAGGAGGATAGAAGGGAGAGGAAGATATAGAAACGGAGAGAGAAAAATGGATAGACAAATAGAGAGAATGAGAGATAGATAGATAGAGGAAAAGTGAGGATAGAGAAAGAAATAAAGAGAGAGAATAGTAAAATATTCATGTTCCGCATTACCATAAGACAATAGATCGTCCGCCGTGAAATTGAAGCATTACTATTTTTTAAGAGTTGGTTTCCCAAAAGAAGAAGTAAGATTTAAAAATTCAGAGTAGAAGAAATAACTTTTGCTTTTTAATATGCCAATTGTCCTTCTAAAGGGTTATGTTAATGCTGTATTTTCTGTGTCATTGTGGTTAAGACGATAGTGAGAAGAAAAAACATTAGTAAAATATTCTTCCTGGGGTTCCTGCATGTCAAGCGGAACAGTAATGGTACCTCGTGGCTATTGTTCAATCTGCCTTTTTGTTGAAGGCACGGAGAAAGCAGAGATTGTAGACAGACAGAGGTGTAAAGGATAAAGGCCGGACGACATCCTCGGACTCTCGAATTACAAATTGTCATTGTCATGACAACAGGGCGCCAGGGAAAGCCGAAATAGGCCTATCCTCGACAAAAACGGTTCCGCAGTCCAAGGTTAATACAACAAGTCCTGTCAATTATAAGGTTCGCGGCACGCACTTTTTCCTATGGAAGAATTTTACGAGCGCCTCGGAAGGAAACAATAGTCGGCCGATTAGCGGGATTTCGCCTCCTTCCGGTCGCACGTCCTTGCAGTTCTTGCGCAACCCGGCCGTGATGGATGCACCTGCAACGGGTATGCTTTCCATAAAACTCTGGTGCATCCGATCCGTACGATCACACGTACAGATTGAACGTTTCCTGTCTTTAAAGGACAGCGTGAACAATGGAATGAATCCATTAAAACAGTTTAGCTTGATGTTTCGTGCAAGAAATTTACAAATCATAACGAGAAAAATGTATAAATTACATGTATAAATGCCGAATTTTTTTAAAGCTTTCAGTGTTTCACATAGTTCTTGATGTAGAAATAAACCTTTTTTTCAAATAACAAGCTGTAAATTAAAATGAATTTGTGTGTTCCCATAACCTTGAATAGCGGTTCCCGACCCGACAGGTTCTAGTTCTGTACATCTTGAATAATTAATATTTAACTTTTAACTTAATAAAGTAATATAAATACCTTTACAACATTTAATAGTACATGGTGTATACCTAATAAACAACAACTTGCGTACATACAACTTGCGTACATACAACTTGCGCTGTGCGATTAATCAGACGGCACTGTTACCTATCTGCAGGCTGATTCTTTTCTTTTAAAATTAACCTTTTGCCCTGTAGAACATAAGTATACTGTAATATGGTAAGATCTCTTGACAAAATCAGTTATTCCCGCTGGAGGAATTCTATGGTTCTTGATAAGAGTTTCATGACGAAGTCATGTATGCAATAGAACAGAAAAAAGAGTGACAAAAAACTGGAACTTGAATAGATGAAATCAAAGGAACCAAGGCTATTTTCCCAACAGTCGTGTCCAGAATAGGCTAATCATTAAGTACAACTATAAAATGACTAAAGTATTATCAGAAATATTAATCGGATCGTAAATATTTTGACCAATTTTCAATATAAATGAGCCGGAAAATGTAACAGGGGTGTATTGATAATGGGATCGTGTTCTTCTTGACTGTTGGGGAAATTTGAGAGCGAAGCATATTGGAAGCGTGGTGGGTCAGCGAGACCCCAAGGACAGTTGAACGTTCACCCCTAGTTCAAAAGTACATAGGTGAATTTAGGTATTGTAAAAACCTTAAATTTATGTTAAAATCAAGCACTACAGTGGTGAACAGTGTAAAAAGTAATATAAATTATATATGCAAGATATCTCGTGAACAATACTTCAGGAGGTTATCCTACATGTAACATTGTACTAAAAAGCCATAATGCTCAAAGTCTGATGCTCTGCTATTTCGCTTTTCAGGTTATTTCAACAATTTTCTCTCTTACCATTGTTGTAAAAGACCTTTTATCCCCAAAACCAATCTTTTTAAAAACTGGTCGTTTAGGAGGAATGGGCTAATAAATTGTAGGAACATGTCAGGAACCCAAATGTAGCTCGGCCAAACCTTCTCTCAGGTGCGTTGAAACGCTTGTAAGAGAAATGTTAAATTCCTCTGTAATGTCTCGTGTCGTTGAATATGTTTTATTTGTGACAAAAGCTTCAATTCTCTCATCATCAAAAGTTAAAGGAAGACCAGAGAACGTTGCGACCTCCAAATGAAAATTTCCGTGTTTGAACCAAGCTAACAACATAACTCCATCTCCATACACATCACAAATTTTCCTAACTGTCTGAGCTATGATGTTCCTCTTGGGGTTATAAAAAAACATTAAATGACGAAAATGCTTTATTTTTCCTCTAATTTAAATGAGCAAACTTCCTTGTAAAAATGCGAAATCTGTACGAAAAACTGACGAAAAAAAACACCTAACTTTTTCAGAATGTGTAAACAATAATTACTAAATAAACACTTTTCAATATGCAAGAGCGATAAAATCGGCTTATCGAAAAACACTACGTCTTGTTTTACAACCAAATATTGTAATTAAATCACTAGTTTTCGCGGCCCGCTTGACCCATTAATATCTTTCGGTTTTTTGGTGTGTCAAGTGGCAGAGTAGCGGCGTATTTATCCGAAGGTCGTGGGTTCGAATCCCGCTCGTGACGCTGACTTTTTTATCTCAACTAAAAACCTTAATTAATTGAAAGATTTTAATTAATGTTATTCTCTAACACTCGCTGCACTGTTAGTCAAGTTTCAGTTTGTCTTTACTTTCTTCCGTGTTATGTTTTTCCTTTCATTAATGAACAGATAAAATTAAAACCAACCACGTAGAAAAAATGATGTAGTATGCATAAGTAGATGAATTGCCCAGAAGATGATGATCTGTAAAAATTGAAAAGGAATATATTAATGACATACGGTTTCAAGATCTGAATCAGATGCTCGCTATACTTTAGGCAATGTGTATCTCATTTACATAAGGTTGAGTATTTTACCTTGAGTTACACACCTGAGAACTTGGGATACTTCATATCATCATTGCGATAACATTAATCATAGACCTTGAGTTTGGTGGAATTAAATAGATGATCCTTTATTGTCAGATGTTTTCTTGTGAATGAAACGGTTCAATTTCAAATATTTTTCCCCGGCTAATAATGGAAAACGTTCATTGTTCGCGAGTCGTTTTCTTCAGTGGTAACGCGAACCCTGGTAATTCGCTGGTGACGAGGTAAAATCTGCCGCACTTCAAAGATCATTCAGCACTACCACTGCTACCACTGTATTTATCAATATTTTATGCTTAATAAAAAACTTGGTTTATCGGAAAAAGTTTGATACAGCAGCACGATTGTTGGTAAACTAATCAAATAAAATAGAACTGTTAGCTTATAATACATACATAATACATGCACTCTATAAGGATTTATACGTACAAACCCAAATACAATTATATATATATGTATTAGAAAGTTAAATTTGTCCATAGTTTAAGTTTGAATAAATAGAAAAATATTTCAAAACTAAATAAAGTTACAATTAGACAAGAAAATTCGACGAAAACAAGTATCGTTATACTTATAAGTTACCAAATACAATTTAGCACTGATTTCAGATATCCCGTAAAGTTCTTGATACACAACTTTTAAAAATAAAGGAAGTTTATAACCAAGAGACACGTTCCAATTAGATGAAATTTAAGTTTACCGCGAACACCCAACAGTTATAACCTCGCGGGATTTCTCTTTGTTGTCTGCGGGGTTTGGTCTGAAGAACAGACACACTGAAGATGGCCGAAAAATATCTAAGAGAACAACCCAGCAAGGAGAGACAGGCAATCCACCTACGACTGTGCGTATGACCTTCGTTGTCATCCTCGGCCTCGCGGGATACGAAGTGTACAGCGTTCGAGGACATTAGGACTACGCTTACGCAGTCCCTCGAATACGTACGGGGTAGTGTAAGGGAATGATGAAGTGCAACTTATAACCTATCCCGTTTCAGCGGCCTTTCGCCTACTTATAGCGCTACCGTTAAGCCGGGAACACACTAAAGCCAGAAACACACCC